TAAAGTCAATCTTGATATGTTTATTTGTATCATGTGAACTAAGAACTCTACTAGGAGAAAGTATGACTACATTAAATGTATACAGGTTTCTAAATATAAAAAATATACATGTACACACACACATACATGTTTTTAAAATCATCATTCTAAATTTATCAATTAAATGCTTGTGATTTGTTTAATTTTTTTCCCATTTGCTAATTTAACTTAACAAGTAGTAGCAGGTACCAAAAGTTTAATAAAATATAATGGAAGAAAAAAATGTATAGATTAGAAAATTCTATTCATAACTTAATTTGGAGGGGATGGGTCAATAAATATCATTACTTAATTTTACTAGCCAAAGACCTCATCTAAGACCACCCATCCAGCCCACTGCTCGGCATACCGTACAAGCTGAATAAATGTTATTTGAGTTCTGAATTTGAAACTCAAGTTAAGTTCCTTGAAAGCAAGAGCATATCTCATTAATCTTTGAATAATGAGCTCCTAACACAGTGCCTGGCACATAGTAGTTGCTCAACAGATGTTGGCTTAATAAATAAACTTAAAATTGAGAAAGCATGCAAAGGTCTCTAAAACATTTTGCATCTCCAATTAATTTGAATTCAAATTTATTCCAATACATTATATCCCAAAGTCTATAAATGTTCCTTCTGTACCCATTACCTTATCTGAGACAGAGTTTCTTGCGAGGAAGAAATATGTAGGTAGAATCCTTCCTTAAGAACAGAAATATTGATGGAGACAGCTAAGCGGGAGGAACATGTCACCTGCATTCTTGTAATAGAACAAAGGGCCCAAAGAAGACACAATGCTTTATACACAGTACCTGTCAGACAGTAACACCTACAATTTGAACCACATATTTAGCCCCACGAGCCTCCTATTCAGAAGATGTCTGGTTACAGTAAACACTGCAGAGATTACAGAAGGGGAGTCCTAATCTATTCTCTGTTTGCAAATGAAAAACCTAGCTATTTCTACTCCTCTCTAACTGAAAGCCGGGGCAGCCTCAAATCAACATAAAGCTAAGATCCAACAGTTTCGCTTTCACTAAGAATGATATTATAGATCAGGGGTCCTCAAACTTTTTAAACAGGGGGCCAGTTCACTGTCCCTCAGACCGTTGGAGGGCCGGACTATAGTTTAAAAAAAACTATGAACAAATTCCTATGCACACTGCACATATCTTATTTTGAAGTAAAAAAACAAAACGGGAACAAATACAATATTTGTATTTGCATGTGGCCCGCGGGCCGTAGTTTGAGGACCCCTGTTATAGATAAATATTTATTAGGATAGGGCCCTGGTCGGGTGGCTTAGTTAGTTGGAGTTTTGCCCTGTGCACCAAAAGGTTGTGGGTTCAATTCCCGGTCAGGGCACATACCTAGATGGTGGGTTCAATCCCCAGTTGGGACTCATATGGGAGGCAACCAATCGATATTTCTCTCTCACATCAAAATCAATAAAAACATATCCTCTGGTGAGGATTTTTTTAATTTATTTATTAGCATAGGAGTTCATTATTTATTGTTAAATGGAAAAAAACAAGGTACCAAATAATTTATGGCATACTCTTTTAGTATTAACATAAACATATGCACGTATTAAATAAGATAATAAAATAGAAGCTGTTTTTTTTACTTGTTAATCATCCATGGCTAATTTTTCAAAAGTGTATCTATATTTTGTCAACATTACAGACTCAAGTTTCCAGAAATCGACCTCAGATAATTAAATAAAAATACTTGAAACAGGGAAGACTTGAAAACATATTTGTGATTAAGAAAAAAATAAAAGTAGAGGACAAAAGGGAGTTAAAGAGAAGTGCGGAGGTGGTCTGTGGTTCTGAATTTTCCCTAAAACCGTGGGCTTGCCTCCTCGAAAAGAAACCAGTCACCAACACATGTAAGCACCCCTGAGAGTGTACAAAGTACTGTCAGCACCGTTTGCTCATGGCTTGTAAATTTCAGAAAGGATGTCCCTCCTCCTCCCTTAATGATCACTTCCACATAACTATTTCTTCAGGACGAGATCCATGTGGAGCATACTTTTATACTATAACCTCCTTCTTTTATTTTTTGCTAGCTTAAAGGTGAATTATGAACATCCTTTGGTGCATATAAAAATTCACCTATGACATCAGGTTTAGTGAGCAGAGATCTGTTTGCTATGGTCCCTCTGGCAACACAGTGTCTGTCTTAGCTTATTATTGTGATCAAAAGTCCTATAGCTACCTTGCCTCCACAAAATGGAAAAATGACTTTTACAACAATGTCCCAAAGGGAATATTTTGGTATAATGGAAGCAAAATATTTCACCAGAGACTATATTAAATTTTCAAGAGATCCTAAATGATTTGAAAGGCTGTTTAAGCAGCTTACTTTCTGAGACTAAGTTCTATCTCCAATCCAAACACCACTGCAAATATCTGAATCCTGAGGCCCAGAGAATTAACCTTTTGTCCTTTTCATTCCATTTCTGTGAACAGATTGGTGACTTCCAACATAATCCTCTTTCAAATATCCTTACAAGTTGGAATAACAACTATACCAATAGGATTTCCTTTATTTTAAGGTCAATATGTGAATATAAGACTACAAAATTTAAATAAATAAAAACTGCTATCATTTTTTAAAATTCCATTGCCAACAGTATTTCACTATTACAATATTTCACTGGAGCAAAGCAACTGTTTTGGGAGGAAATTTTCAAAGTCCTTCCTTTCAATGGACTATATGAGCAGAGACTCGACAGCACTCAGAATTATATTCGTGGTGTGTGAGTACTCTATGTGTGTGTATAGTATTTTTTCAATACAAATAGCTTATTAAACTTCAAATGGGGTTCATAGTTAAAGACCCTTACCTTATTATTATAATTACTACCAAAAAATACACAATTTAATTATAAGTAAGTTTATAGTAAATACAATCTATATATATAAAAGGCTAAGTGTCCGTCCAACCGGTAGCTATGACATGCACTGACCATCAGGGGGCAGACGCTCAACGCAGGAGCTGCCATGACACACACTAGCCATTTAAAAATAAATGGCACCACGGACCTGGCGCCAACAAACCAACACTCGGCTTCCCCCAAGTAGGACACAGGCTCCATCACCACCCAGGAGTGACACCCCACCAAAGCGCAGCCAACGATGTCAAGATCCCATGGTGCAAAATGTGGCCCACAGCCCAGCCCAGCCCAGAAATGATCATCGCTGTGGGCTCCGGGTAATGATGTCACACAACAACTCCCGGCTTCCTCTCCCTAGCGACTAGCCTCCTTGCAGTTTCTTCAGCCCAGGAACGCGACTTGCTTTATAGCCAGGTGCAAACATTTTACACTTTAACCAAATGTCTGTGAAGCAATTTCCCATGCCTCATCTCATTTGATCCTCACAGAAGTCCTGGAGTAGGTAGATAGGAGACTCAGTGGAATTCTATTTTCTTTTTATTCGCCTATTTTCTTTCTAAAGCAGAGATTTAGAAAGTTTAGAAACTTGACCCAACTGAAAAGAAGTAAGAAATGGTGGACCTTGAAAATGACTTCAGGTTGTCTCACTGCGCAGAATATAGTCAAATACTGCTACGGTTAAATATTTTACCCTTTGTTCTTCCTGCGTGATCTACAATAATAATCTGCTTCCTGTTGATATTTACTGCTGTGTTGCTGACAATTATGTGAAAGAGAAGCTGGGGTCCTTCACTGTGCTGGAAAAAGTTTAGCTAAATCAGAAAGCAGGTCTAATTAATCAAGTTTATTCTATATCTATAAAAGGCTAAGTTGACTCGCACATGCACGATACATATAAAGCTCTCACTGGCGCTAATTGCATGTGTGTTTCAATCTGTCATTGTCGATCATGAATTTGGTTGACACTTCTATTATAGAGAAAGGGCGAATAGCGATATTAAAATATTTCTTCTAATTAATTTCCTTTCAATGAGCATGAATCTGTGCACCGGGACACTAGTCTAACAATAAAATCTGGTATTATTTAATGTTTCTATAGAACTTCTAGAGCAAAGTTCTTTTCTGCCTTGTTTTACTTTAGCTGCTTCAACTAGTTCATTTGTACTATCAAATATGTAGAGGAGCTGTAAGACACAAGGCATACTTAGTTTAGAAAACTACTTAGTAATTAAATGCATGCACAGTTCCTATTGTCAATGATATTGTTCCTGAAACATGCCAGAAAGAAGGTGTGTGTGTATGTGTGTGTGTGTGTGTGTGTGTGTGTGTGTGTGTGTTGTTTTGCTTGCATTCTTATGGGCCATGCATGCTTCCAAATAGTATCTACAGCAAAGTATAGTGACTGTATTATTTTTAAGGCCCATTTTACCTTTTCAAAAATATCAGAGAATAAAATTAAACTTTATAGTCTCAAGCAATTTTTTCTAAAAGATAGCAAAACCATTCATACAGGTGTCTCAATTAGCATATCTGAAAGTCCCTCAAAAAGGTATAAAATAATAAAACCGTCAGGTGCACCAAATCTTCCAAGACCAGGCTACATGAAGAACATCTTGAACAAGTGACTCTACATTTTGTTTTCCCTTCCAGACAAGAAAAGAACCAAAAGGCTTTCATTCTTATTCCAAAAATTCAGGATCAAAGAGCCCATATAAAAGTCTAAAATACCTGAAGCTCATAAAACTGGACTCACTTTTCTGTCACACCACATTGCATCCCTTATTTTTAAAGTTTAATTCATCTACTGCACATCAAATAAAAGGCTTTATTACAACCTTGAGGACTCAGTTTTTGAAACCCAAAGGAAATGGCACAATGCAGAGAGTCATCCAAATCTCTTTAGAAGGTTTTTTTGAAAAGGTCTCCTGAGTCCCTTTCCATGTTTCAAATCCATAAGAATACATAAAACTTACAAAGCCAGGACAAGAAAGAAAGCAGAAAGGGCACAGACCCACTGTTAACTTTCTGAGAGAAGTATATCGGAATTTTTTTTAAAAGCTAGTTAGAAAATGACTTACTTTTCCCAGATCTTTGGTACAAAGCTCAAAAGGCAAGTTCCTTTCTCCCACAAAGTCTTGTTAATTAATAGCAATCGCTCAGTGAGGTCAGGCAGCCCAGATGTATCTAAAAATTGTGTAGAGACAAAAATAGTTAAAATTCAAAGTCAGATTAGAAATTAAAAATCAACACATCCCATTGCTATTCACATCCTCTCTGCATAATTAAAGTGTAGATTTCACTGAATAGCTAAATGATGAGTTTTGTGAGCTACCTTTCTTCCAGAACAATACTAACAAGGTTTGCTAAATCTGGACCGCTTTTTGATCTGTTGTCTTATTAAAGTTACTAAAGCAGGAATCAGCGAGGCTTCTTGGCAACCATTCATGGTAAAAATGTCCTTCTCAGGGAGTCATAAAGAGCAACTGAGGGTGGATCTGGACTTCTAATTATACCGAGACTTGGGAGGGCAGGTCTACCGCAATCACACTTGTGCCTGCACCACCGTCCAAAGGCGAGCTCATCTCACAAACACAGAGGCAGTTTGAACAGACGGGAGCAATAACAAAGAAAATCACCAGCAACTTATGCCCTTCAGATATATCCCCTTAGGCACCCTTCCCTGCAGCAGGTGGGAATAAGAAGAGTCCTGTTAATTTTTTTCTAATAAAACAGAAAATCCAACAATCTGCATGATAATAACCTGATTTAAAACGTAAGTTACTTCCCCAACAATGCTGTGAATGAATACATACATAATAGCTCATTCACAAGATTACAAAGTTTGAGACGGTGAAACAGATGCCACAGGTAAACCATAACCTCAAGTCTGTGCTCTCCCATTCGGGGCCTTATGTTAGATGTAATTCTAAGAAGCGTGATGAACTCCTCTGTGAGCCAGAAGAGGTTGAAAAATAGGTCAATTAGAAGACAGGAAGAACTGCTACAGTAGCGGTCGTAACTGAAAAGCAGGCAGAATCCCAGGAACATCAATAGACATCTTTTATTATTATTGTCATTGTTACTGCCAACACTCATAGTGTTGACTCTCATGCCAGATTCTTGTTTTGCACGTATTAACTCTACACAGGATAGACACAAGCAGAATATCTCCTCCACTTCACCGTATTACCACACAGTATACTCAATTCTGCTAAACCTTGTGTTTGTTCCAAGACTGATACAGTAGGAAACAATTTGAGCGTAACTCGAATTTCACATTCGTTTATGCATCATTTCATTGCAAGCAACGCTGGGTAACAGCAGAAGACTGCACCCAGGTAGAACCCAGATGTGTAAGTTTAGATAGAATGCAAAAGTCCTGCCTCACACATGCACTAGTGGTCTGTTCCCACAGGCGTGCTATGAGCCACACCCATCCACATCGGGTGCCCCAACCTTCCTTCAGATTTCAGGAATACCTCACAGGCTGCAACCCTTCCAAACCCTCAGACAAGAAGAGGTCAGGACTTTGTCAAGGTAAAGTGCCATATTTATTTATTCCTTAACCAATTAATATGTGTAAAATTGTGCTACAATTTGTGATCAGTTCCTATCTTTTTTTTTTTTAATGTATCACTAGTAAACACTGATAAAGGTTTTTGAGTGCTATGTCCCTGACCCCATTTATCCCGTAAGTGTTGTGTTGTGGGTTGGGTTCTACTGCATGATTTTGCATAGCATTGTGGTTTTTAGAAATGCGTGCATCACATTTTAGCAGAACCAATTGTACAATAACTAGTGTTTATAACAGAGGTGGGGAATGTCCACCCCACGGGCTGTATAAGGCCCTCGAAATCATTTGGTCTGGCCTGCCAAGGCATTAGAGGTGAGTTAATTAAATATTTGACCAAATACAGCGGGCTGATTTTTAAAAAATATATATATATTTTTATTTCAGAGAGGAAGGGAGAGGGAGAGAGATAGAAACATCAATGATGAGAGAGAATCATTGATCAGCTGCCTCCTGCATCCCCCACACTGGGGATCAAGCCCGCAACCCAGGCATGTGCCCTGACTGGGAATTGAATCTTGACCTCCTGGTTTATAGGTCGTTGCTCAACCACCTGCCAGTCGGTCCAGCAGGCTGATTTTTAAGTTGATAATTTTGTATGGCCCGAGAATGATGTTATAAATATCCAAATGGCCCTTGGCAGGAAAAAGTTCCCCACCCCTGGTGTATAAGATTGCTTATGATTTAAACCAGGAGTTGCATTGTGATTTTTCAAATCTTTTCATTATGTTAAAGGGAATAGCAGCATATATAATACAATGTTAGAAAGATTCTCATTCACAATGTTTACAATTACCAAGTATGGACTCTTAGGGTCAGTTTCAGTTATGTGAAAAAATTTATTTCTGAGAAGTCCCCTAATGGTGTTAGATAAATAAGGTGTTACTGCACCATTCTTTTCAGACCAAGATGATGGTGTTATAAAGATAGATTCTTGCATATAACAGGGCTTAACCGTAATTGCTGGAAAGGACAAACTTTAAATTAGTTTATTAAAAAAAGACTCTGAATTTATCCTTTAAAAAAAGTGTAAATTATACATAAAGATATATACTAAGAAGTTTTCTATTATAAGTAATATCATTTCAAGCAATTTGAAAACTTTAAGTATCCAACAATGGATAAAGAGATTTTTTAAATCTGTAAGGCATTTAAGTGGGAAAATGTTTTTAAGTAGTGTTCGTGGGAATGCAGACTATAAGGCAAAATGTTCACTATGATACCAATTTTGTTTCAAAGTATTTACATCTAGAAAAAAAACTAGAAGTAAAAAATAAGTCAACATGTGAATAGCTGCTTACTAGAGATAATAGAATTAGAGTAGAATAATTTTGCTTTCTTTGCATCTCCCTGTGGTACCCAAATTTTCTACAATAATCCTATCTACTTTTCCAATTATAAAATAACAATGTGCTATATAAAAATAAGACTGAGCCATTTGGTGGAAAAATCTCTTTTTATCCCCACTTTAATTTCACACACGAATCCAGACAACAGAATGAAGGCCAGCCCAAGACCCAGGACACCAGGAGCTTTCTCCACAAGTATTAACAGATCTAGTCTTACAACTGTACCCTTAAAAGTATTTTCTAACTCACAGTTCAAGGGCAACCCAGCCCCAACAGGGATGTGCAAAGTATATAAATCCATTACAGAGTCCAAAATATAATTTGCTTTTATTGGCTAAAACAGTCATGAACTTGGTAAAATCCAGATGAAAGATCTTTAAATTATATAATTGTATACAAACTGTCTTAATGTCTGAAGGAAATTCTATATTGAATGAAGAAATTATGTTCTGGATAAAGCTCCTTTCAAACAAGAGCAAGATGAAAGAAATACAAGGAGTGATGGATTTGGGCACAGGGATGAACGTTCACTTGGGCAGTTTTGTTTTTTTTTAAATATACTTTATTGTTTTTTTACAGAGAGGAAGGGAGAGGGATAGAGAGTCAGAAACATCGATGAGAGAGAAACATCGATCAGCTGCCTCCTGCACACCCCCCACTGGGGATGTGCCCGCAACCCAGGTACATGCCCTTGACCGGAATCGAACCCGGGACCCTTCAGTCCACAGGCCGGTGCTCTATCCACTGAGCCAAACCGGTCAGGGCTCACTTGGGCAGTTTTAAATAGAAAGTGAGAACAGAGAGATTGATCTTTATAATCTCCAAAAGAACTCAGTTATATTAAAAATGTTCCCAACCACGCCCTAACCGGTTTGGCTCAGTGGATAGAGGGTCAGCCTGCGAACTCAAGGGTCCCAGGTTCGATTCCAGTCAAGGGCATGTACTTTGGTTGCGGGCACATCCCCAGTGGGGAGTGTGCAGGAGGCAGCTGATTGATGTTTCTCTCTATCCCTCTCCCTTCATCTCTGTAAAAAATCAATAAAATATATATTTTTTAAAAATGTTCCCAACCACGATGGAATTTGACTTTGAAAATAATCCATTTGCCAAAAGCGGTGACTCTTGAGTCATGAGTGCATTTAGTTAATCCCATAGGCTGAAATCACATAAGAACTGAATGGTGATAGTACTCAAGAGTCAAATTGGCCCCCACCCACCTGAGTTCACTCACCTGCACTTGTTAGCAGCACATTTAAATGATGTGTCCCTTTCCATTTTCAGTTTAACCTTCTCGCATATCATACAGCCAGTAACTATTTTGTATAGAGCAGCTGCTTTACTATGACTCTCCATTCTCAAAAAATGTACTGAAGATTAAAAGTCAGTGTGTATGTGTGTGTGTGTGTGTGTGTGTGTGTGTATGTGGTTTTGTTTCATAAAACTACAAAGCATCTGAAAGATTAGATGTATGTACACCTGAATAATAACCATATTCCTGCTGCACAAAGCATAGATGTAGTAGTCGTTACTTCTTTGTTTTCTTTCAAAAAATGCTGACTTCCATAAAAAAAAACCCACAAAAACAAAGCCCTTCTGTTTCAAATCTGCTTTTGTATTTTTAAGCATTTTCATAGGTTCCCTAAGCAAATGGAAACAAAAGCTACTGGCATCGTGTTTTGTTTTGTTTGAAAGAACAGAATAGGCAAATGAACATTTTAATTATGCTATTACTTATAAAAATAGATCACAGAGGAGATATTGAGTTCCAGAAAAATCAGTCAGTTCAAGTTCAAGATCCCCCTCGGAGACTATCATTTTATCAAATGCATGGTGATTACTTTGGAAAATAACTTGGGAATTCTTGGTTTCTGTGTCTCACAAGTTGCTGCACATAGGCACTTTTAATAATTTGCAACCAAATATTATAATTAGCAAGTAAACTCAGATATTATACTCAACTATGAGTACTCAAAAGAAAATCTATGAATTTTAATTTTTAAAGGAAGACATGCTGAAATATACACCCATCTCTACATGCCTCACACTGACTGAAAATGTAGAGCACTGAGGAACTCTCAGTATGAAACCTATATTTCTTAAATTGCTGCAAGAATTAGCATATGCATAGCTCAGGGGAATACAGTCTCGTAGCATTACCGGATATTAAAAAAAGGGCAACCAATGTTTTCAGAGTCTACCTGGAAAACAAGCAGAAATTGTTTTCTCGGGCTCTCTAGTCTCTCCCTGGGCAGAATTCCAACATA